AGGCCTGAAACATCAGCTTTCCTGCTCTTCTGATGCTGCTTGGCCTGCTGTGTTCATCCAGCTCTACACCTTGTTATCTCTTATTTCTGATGCCTTGACCGATTCAGGGGAGTTTACAATGTGGATCACAGAGCACACCTGGCATAACAAGGAGAAAGAGAAGGAGAACTGAGATCTTGCACAAGTTCTCCCTGATGGCACAGCAATGCAGAGATGGGATAGGTGATCAGCGACACATGTTCAAGTGTTCTGACTGCAAGAGATGTATGTACCTGACCATCATCATTTCCTTATCTGCAAGCTTTTGCCAACTTTGATGGTGCACACACTTCTGATAGCCACCATCTAGAGCCCTCTCATTACATACACTCTCTACCCCCTTGAAGACAAAGGGGAATGGATTTTCTCTCACAGGCTAAAAAGAGATGACTACTGCTGAGGCTAATGGCTCTGGACAGATGCTGAAGTAAATGAAGCTATCATAAGTCATTTCTCTGCTCCTTGTCCACATTGTTAAAGCCATGAATGTATGAGCATGTTAACATCTCACTCCTTGGCCATTCTGCTTGACAGTTCACATATGGAGAGAGCACTGGATGCTAAATGTGCATTTATATGACATTGCCTTAAGAATACAATATCATGCCATCCAATAAAGATAGACTTATAATCCTACCATATTATTGCCCTAATAGGTAAAATGTTCTTCAGTCCCCTTTATTCAACTACTGCCAAACATGAAGCCCGAGAGTGCAATATAACACTGTAAGACGACATCTCAACTAAGGTACATAATGCACAGGAAACAAGTTCTTCAGCCCAACCTGTCCATGTTGACAAGGTTTGCTAAGCTGAATTGGTCTAATTTCATTGCGTCGGACCCATATCCTTCTAAGCCTTTCCTACTTATGTACCTGTCCAAATGTCTTTTAAATGTATGCACCTCTACCACTTCCACTGGCAGCTCATTCCATATATGAACTCTTTCCTCCTCAGTGTGGCGGTGCCTCCCCCCCACCACCCCCACCATGTGAGATTGTTGCCCCTCAGGTCCCTTTTAAATCTTCCCTTGTTCACCATAAACTTATGCTCTCTAGTTTTGGACTTTCCCACCCTCGGGAAAAGATCTTGGCAGTTCAACTTATCTATTCCCCTCATGATTTTATAAACCTCTATAAGGTCATACTTCAGCTTCCTACGCTCCAAGGAAAAAGTCCCAGTCTATCTAACCTCCTTATAACTCAAACCTTCCAGTCTGACTACCAAGCCTGATGAAAGAAATGAAACTGAATGTTTCAATACAAGTATCTCACTTGGCCATTTCAGAGGGCAGTTAAAAGTCAATCATATTACGGTGGGTCTGGAGTCACATCTGGGCCAGACTGGGTAAGAAAAGCAGATTTCCTTCCCTGAAGGGCATTAGTGAACAAGATGGATTTTTATAATTAACAGTGGTTACATGGCCGCCAGTACAAAAACATTCCAGATTTTTAAAAAAAAGTTTCACTGGGGTTTGAACCCATGTCTCCATTGCATTAACCTGGGCCTCCGGAACACTTATCCAGTGACACTACCATTCTGACATGACTTCTCCTGGTTAATTACAAAAATTTTCAAAGGTTTTCCATGTCTTCACTGCCTCCTACTCTTTGCGCCCAAGCCTGAATGCACCTTGTCCACCTCCAGCACTATTTTCAAATCACCACAATCAAACATTCTAATACTGCCCCTATCATTTCTTTACTACATCCCCATCGCCCTCCCTCATTCACAACCCCTGCCCCAACAATCCTGTATCCACACACATCCTTCCCCATCACCCTTCTTGAATCCACAGCCCTTCCCATTCCACAACTTTTCCCTCACAGCCCTTCCCCATCACCCTCCTTCCTTCCACAACTTCCCTCCCCCCACTACCCTCTCATCCGCACCCTGCTTCTCTCCCCCTACCCTGGCCTACTCACATCCACACCGCACCCTGAATCCACATCCCTCGCTCCCCCACAGCCCTTCCCCATCCACACTCCACTCTCATTACCTTCCTATCAACTAATCAAGTGAACAAAATATAGTGTGATATCTATATACTGTATGTACCTAGAATAACATTGGAACATACTGTAACATCAGCCATGCCACCTTTGCGCCCTCAATGCTTAATTTTTTTTTTAAGACGTTTATGTTGAACTTGCAACAAATCATCAGCTGTTGTAGCAGGCTAGTGACAGCAATTCCATACCATCACACAATTACAGGTGGGACATGTGCCTACTCTACACACACACAATTTGCATTGAGCATAGAATAGAATAGAATCATAGAATCCCTACAGTGTGGAAACAGGCTCTTCGGCCAACAAGTCCACACTAATCCTTGAAGCATCCCACCCAGACCCATCCCCCTATAACCCACACATCACTGAACACTACAGGCAATTCAGCATGGCCAATCCACCTAGCCTGCACATGTTTGGACTGTGGGAGGAAACCTGAGCACCTGGAGGAAACCCACACAGACATGGGGAGAATGTACAAACTCCACACAGACAGTCACCCAAGGGCGGAATTGAACCTGGGTCCCTGGCACTGTGAGGCAACAGTGCTAACCACTGAGCCACCGTGCCGCCCCCTACCACCATGTATGCACTGCAGCTCCTGACACTAGAGTTAAAGTAGCACCCTCCTGTCCTGCCATCGGCAGTCATATTTGTCTTAATATATTTCAAATAAGGTGCGTAAGTATTGCCCAATTTAACTCTATATTTAACTCTATATTTGGCTCAAATTTTCGTTTATGCTGCCTGCTCCTAGACTCCCAAAGGAAAGTTTCCCTGACTATCCTTGTTCCCCTAACAAAACTTTGATGAAATCACCCTTTAACCTCCCAAATTTGATGGAATGCCATCCTAGTGTGAAATGATTCTTTTTTCCCTCCCTTATAAAGGTAACCAACCTGTGGAATTCTTTACCGCAGAGGGCTGTCAAGGCTGGATTGTCTGAGGCTGAGATAGACAGATTTTTAATCAGTAAGATAAGTAGTGTTATGGGTGTAAAACAGGAAAGTGGAGTTGAGAATTATCAGGAACAAAAACAAAGTTGCTGGGAAAGCTCAGCAGGTCTGGCAGCATCTGTAAAGGAAAAAACAGAGTTAATGTTTTAGGTCCGGTGACCTGAGAATTATCAGGTTAGCCCAATTGCACTGAATGGCAAAGCAGACTCGATGGGCCAAATAACTACTTTTACATCTTATAACTTTATTCTGGTGTTTCACGCTGGTAACTTACTCTCTCTCAGGCTATTATATCCTTTCTTATATGCACTTCCAGAACTGCATGCAATACTCCATGTGTGGTTTAACCAGTGTTTTATACACCTAAAACATAACTTCCAGAACTTTGTATTTTAGTTCTATAAACATAAAGGCCAATATTCTATTCGATTTTTAAAATTACTTTCTGTACCTTTTGATAAGCTATACAGCTGGATTTTGGACCTTCACTGTTTTTAGCTTTTCAAGCAGCAAAACATACTCTAAATGCTGTTTTAGGTCCAAAGTGCCTGCACTGAAATCTATTTGCCATGATTTTACCCATTCATTTAATCTATCAATATCTTTGTAACTTTCAGCTTCCATTGACACTGACCATGCCAACAATCCTAGTGACATTAGCAAATTCGCATATGTGGATTTCTATCCCATTGTCTATAATCACTAGTGATTACTGTAAATAGCGGAGGCCTCAAACAGATCCTTCTGGAAACTCTAGGCACATCATGCCAATTAGATCATCAGCCTGTCAGCTCTGCTGTCTCCTGTGCAAACAACTTCCTAAATGTTAGTAATTTACCTTCAATTCAGCTTCAACTTTAGGTTAAAGTCTCTTGTGAACAACTTTATCAAATGCTTGTTGGGAGTCCACATAAACTAGATCTCTAGACATTGACCTGCACACAACTTTATCCACCTCTTGGAAACTGTCTGATTCAGGGGATTTATCATTCTTTCAAAGCATTATTTAATTATTTTGTCTACATGAACAGTAGGGAGACCCTGTCCACAGTCCAAAGTTAGTTTCCTGGGGAGGTCTGGCATGCCGACCTCTTTCTGTATTGCAAATACTGGCATAGGAGAAAGCAATTCAAGCATGCCTGTCTTATCCTTGCCTTCTATAATAATGTCACCATGTCAGTTTAAGAAGCCCACCCTCTTTTTATCATTGTCATTGTGAAAATATATTTTGCTGATTTTGATATTCTTTGCAAGTGTGGGTTGAACAAAGAAGTAGAGCTCTG